AAAATTCATGAGATAGCTTTACATTGGTGCTAATCTGTTTGCATTTCCATTACATTTGTGTTGTGTTACAATTTTTCTAAGCTGCTGTATCTTGAAGCTGAAAGAATTTTACTTACGAAGAGGGAACTTGGCATACTATTAATTCCAATGTAGTGGGTGTCTTTTTCCCAGCCTGTGATCTGGGTTTTCTTTGCTTTGCCATGAGCAACAAAAAGAGAAAAAGAAGTATTTTCTGGAGGATATCTGATTTGCAGTCTAGATCACTAGGCAGAAGCAATTTCTACCATGCTGTCTGTGTCTTGATGGTTTTCAGTACAAGGTGTGCCTCAGGGCTGGGTTTCTAGCTTTGCTATGCAAGTTGACAGAGTGAGGGTACTCACCTGCTTTCTTTTCTCAAACAGTGATGTGTATAGATTTCCCCTTGAAAGACTGTACTAGTGCAATCACCTGAAAGTTGGGAACATTTACTTCAGTGTTTCTTGTTTTCCACCCAAGGGACACTGTGTTTGTGTACTGCGCTCATCACTGAGCACTCTCATGTTGATTTATTCCTCCTAATTATGAGATGGGGCGTACACGAATGTCATGGAGAAACCCTCTGCAACTGTCCCAGCCCTGTGCATTGACAAGATTGAAACTGATGTGACTTGGTTGGAAGTCCTGTGATAGTTGTTTATTATATCAAAAATGAATGTTGTCCATAATTCTGTTATGTTGAGAGTGTATTGGCTTTCTGGTTTAGTTTGAGGTTTTTTTGTTTAAAATGAATGGTTAGAGAGAGAACGGGCATAGAAAGGACCAAATTCTACAAACTAGTTTAATATGGAGCTCTTGCCAAACTCCTACTGACATCCGTGGGATGAAGTCTGCTCTATACCTGTTAAGCTGCCTTTGCCTTACAGGGCAGAGAGGATTACAGATCTTTTTTGAGCATGGTGGAAATGGGTAGGATCACTTTTTGTGTGTGTGTGTGTTAGGCCTTATCTGAAGAAAGACAATCACTGCATAGCATTACCATGAGTGTGGAAGTCCCAGCACCACTTCCGTTTTGAAGTAGAGATCATGTTTTTTGAGCATGGGATTGTAAAGTCCAGGTTGCATCCCATTGCTTGGTAGTTATATATTAATAAAGTTTAGGTCCAAAGGGCTTGTGTTACCTTGTCTTGAAGTTCTTAGTCAGGTGAAACTTTTCTTTGTTTCTGTTGCATTTCTTCTATGTGCTGTACTACAGAAACACTGGTCTTGTTGGTCAGTTTGCTTGTTGTTTTTCTTTTTCCATTTTGAGAAGCCTGATGTTGTTGCTGAGAACAGTGCTGGTAGGTTATTTATGTATTCTGCCTTCTTATTTCATGGCTATACGTATTTTTTTCAGTTTATAGTAAAGCGAGATGAACTATTTCAAGCCTTGGTAAAAGGCACTATACATCTGTGTATTAGAATCAGCTGCTTGCTCTTTCTCCTTATCAAGGGCTGGATTGAAGCATTCGTGTAATGGTGAGTGAATCATAGGTTTGACGTGTTCCTGCTTGTAACTTCATCTGCAGACTAATAACAGGGAGGGGGGCTTAACAAGTATCTCAGTTCTGAGCACAGAGAAAGATGTTTTTGGATGAAAAAAACTGCTTTTGAGCTAAATTTAGTTTGAATTTAGCTCACACTGAAGAATGGTATGCAACTTTTTTATAGTATGTTGTGTTTATAGTGTGGAAAGTACCCATGCTTAAAACAGGCTTTTAAATCACACACTTTCTCTGTGCAGTATTTTAGGGGGGGGAACAAAAAGGCTTTTATTATGGAGGGCTTTTGTACGGCCCTTTATAACCATCGTAGCTGTGACAAAGAAAGCTGAATTCTTTTTCTGACTCACATTCAATAGCATTAACAGGCTTCTCAGCACCTTCTGACTGCAGTTGCTGGAGCCCATCAGAAAGCAGCTGCTCGTGCAGACCCATGGGTAGAACTAGAGCTGTAGATTTAGGTCTGCAGTTCATGGATCTACTTTCTACTACTGAGACGTTTCAGAAAGTTGGCTAGGAAATGCAAATCTGTGCCACGTATCACTCTACAAATGTGAACTTTAAAGGGATCGGCTTCCACTGAAATAGTTTGAGATCTGTCACTTGGAAAATGTTGAAAACCAGGCATTTAAGGCAGTCACAGTGTTTCAAGAGAATATGTAGTCACTATTGTGGAAAAGTTCGTATGAGGTCACCTAAACTGTTGCTAGGTTAGAGAGACTGCAGTGAGACTGTTTTCCCTGTTCTTTTCTCTGATGTCTCTGGAGGAAACAGACCTGCACTGTCCTTTCTGCACAAAAGAAAAGGAGGATTGTAGTATCTAAAAGGCCCTGACCGTGTAATGCCAAAAAGAATTCACATTGTAACATATTTTATCGTTGGTCAATGTATAGCAGATGCTTTTGATGGCGTGATCCCTGATTTCCTGCCATACACACCCCCTCCGCCCCAGTGTTGTACTAGGTCTGTAACTACAGAATTGGCTGTAAAGAGTACTTAAAAAGGGGCCAAATAAAAATCGCACTCCTATTCCAGAGCTAAAAATTGGTATTAAGGTGTTTGACCTCAATTGTTCCTTCAGAAAACAAGATGCCGGTTTGTGTTATTGTTAGTGAGCAAACACGTGCGTAGCACACTCCCAGTTTACTTTGAGCTCCTTCATCAGCTTCAAAACTCAGTCGTTCTTCATCTTTCTGAATGAAAAAGTTTCAAGTCTCTGGTTTCAACTGTTTTCAGTTTAATGTTTTTTTTATTACCATTACTTTATTTCCTCTATCTCTGTTCACTGTGAGATCTGGAATTTACAAGTCCAGGTTAATCATAATTAAAAAAACCCTAGTTCTGCCAGATTCAGGACACTTGCCTGCTTCTTTTCTTCCCCACCCCCTTTGATACTTTGTCAGGAGCACTGTATTAAATTGCCCTCCACATTGTAGGACAAGCTTTAAAAATTAAGAAAAGCTTGTTTTAAGAAGTTGATCAGAATCTCTGTAGCTGCTCATGTTGATGTAGTTGATGTTATGGAGAGCAAGAATTATATGATTTGTAAATTGATCTGAAGTCCTTAAAAGTGATACTGCATGATTGTAAAGCTACATTGATTTACGCAAAACTTCCCTGTCTCTCACCACCAGTTTACAGATAACAACTGTAGCCAAATGTACAGGGATTTGAGCAGAAGATGAATCTCAGTTTCTTGTTTTTCTTTTATAGACAAGTAAATAAACTAGGAGTTTGGTTCACGGACATATAGAAAGTCAAGGTAGTTTGACAAACAATAAAGCCATGGACTTTATCATCACCTCCATGGGGAGGAGTATAGGGGCTGCAAGTTAGTGACTGATGACTGAATGACTCCTTGGGTGTATATATGATAAAAAGTTAATGTTCAGGGAAAATTTCCCATGGACCAGAAATTGCTCTATGCTAGTAAATATGTCACTAGCTCTCCCTACATATTTGTAGAGAATGCTTTTTGTCATGAACACAGGGCACTGAAAGGAAGTGTCTACATCACCAATAATTGTACAGTGTCCTGCTGAGGTCTCACTGAAATGTGCATTTTCAGGGCAGCATAGTGATTTTTTGCAAGTTGAGATATGTCATAGAAATTGTTCATCAAATGCTAATATTGATTAAAAAGTGTAGAGGATTTGGATTGTTTCTGAACACATTTATTGGTGATGTGATGCAGCTCTTACTTTTTCTCTGCCAGGAGCTTACATTGGTAATCCAAACTGCATGTTTAGCCTTTTTATATGTGAGAATACAGGTTGTCTCTAATTAAAGAAGAGCTTGGTTTGGTATTAATCCGGTTCAGTTTTTAATTACTTTTTTTTTTCTCTGAAAACTTTTGCCCTTGGCTGATTCATCCACTATGCTTTGCAGGCTTTTACGGGTTAGAGTGCTTTTTCTGTACTCTTCTGGACCTCTGTTTATGTTGTTCACAGGGTAAAAATGATGTGCTGAATCATAATCTCTTCCTTCCTGCACCCTAAAAACAGGCAGATTAAAAAATGCAGGCAGTAAGCCTGGGTAATAATTTCTCAGTAAATATTTTACTGCTTTTTCCATCTGTTACACTAAAATCTGTCTTAAACTAGGCATAAATCTAGTCAGAAGAGGTCACTGGGATAATAACGATCAGAATTAATCCTCTTAGACATGTGCTTGGTATGAGGCCAGCTATTCAGAAGTTTAACAGCACACATATGTTGCTTATCTCTCTGGCAGCTTGCCAATGAAGTAAACTTTGAGTTTGTGGTGGGTTTCTATCTCTGTAAAGTACACTGCTTGTTTGGTGCAAGTTGTTGCAGCTTTTCTGTATGTTGCACATGGTGCATAGCCTGCTACTGAAGAATGAGTTCAGTCAGGGTGCTTTCAAAGAGCTACAGTCTCGTAGAGTTGCATGGTAAGAAGTGATATCATTCATGGTTGACCTTTTCATGGTGCTTCCCGATGAAGTATGATGAGCCAAATTTAATGCTACTTACTTGGAGCAGAGGAAGAGACAATATTTCAAGTAGAGTAATACTGTGGAACCCAAATATAGCTGAATGAAACCTCACCCTGCCTCCACTCCTGCCATTCTGACTTGGAGGAAACATTCATTTACGTAAATACAAATGTTTCTCGAGTCAGATCTGGACTGAACCCAGCATTTCAGTTTCTCTCTTCATAGGAGCATACTTCATACTCAACAGAATAATGATTATTCCATATCCTGATTATGGAACTGATTCATTCCCCGGGGCATGGAAAGCAAGCAGGAGTGAGTGCATCATTAAAAAATTAGTGTATTTTTAAAGAGGAGGTAAAAATAAAATGCAACTCCATTGAAAAGTTTCATGATAAAGAAAAATGGCTTGCATTAGAGGAACTTTTTAAAACAATCTGATGAATCTATCTTATGGCTAAAAACCAACATGTTTATACTTTTCTCAGGAGAAATGATTAATTTTTTTCTTGCCTTTATTTCTCAAGAAGAAGAATGAAAGCTCGTGCTCCTCCTCCACCAAATCAACCTTCTGCAGCAAGTAGAATTCACAGTGAGCACAAGTCACCTGCAGAGACAGCTGTTATTTCTGATCAGAACCTTGTGAGCATGAAGGAGAACATGATAAACAGATCAGTGGACTTCACAGTCATTTTACCCAGCGGGGTAGAGCAGAAGAGCACAGTACAAGGAAGGTAAGGCTTTGATTAGCTCCCACTTTCTGGAGCCCTCTGTTCCCAGTGATATTAATTGACTTGATGATATTAATATCTCCCTTTCTGAGCTGATGGGGTTTCTCTGTCATGCTTCCCTCTGTGTTTTAGGCAGCTGTTGTACCAGAGAGTCCTGAGAGCTGTGTATAAAGGACCCTCTCTGCTGGGGCAGGAAGGATTTAGCAGCTGTTGTGTCACTGTTTTCCCCATGGATCACCCTCAGCATGTGTATGGATCTGTCTCTTCCATGTAGTGACACTGGGCTAGTCTTAGGTTGTATCACGTCTCAAAATACCAAGGGGGTTTGGTGCAGTGGAAGTAGGTGCTGCTGGCAAACAGCAATCCTGACAGTATGCCTGTCTGGAGTCATGCCAAGAAGCAAGCTCAGAAGATGAACGATTCATCACATTCAGAGATCCTGCCTTCACAAATACATTGCAATTGTATAGACAGCAAAGCATCTGCTGATATTTAGGAAGCCTTTTCTATATAAAAGTGTATTTTTTTTTTCAATAAGAAAAGAGAGAGGTTCTCCTTGTCACTGGGTACAATCAAGGGAAAACTGTATTGGAAAGGCAGTTTTGAGTTAATTTTCTTCGCCATGGAAGCTTGCTCTTCTCCTCACCTTCTCTGTGAGAACTGTTTTGAAAGAGGGAGACTGATTTAAGAAAGAATTTGCAAGAGTTTTAAAAATATATTCAATACTATGATGAAGCTATAGCAAGCAATAATGTAGTCAGCAGTGGTTGAGAAACTGTAGAAAGTGGTAATACCAGATTAGGAGGATATGTAGATGCCTGTTGATAAATCAGGTTCTGTGCTTATTTTACATTTGAGATTTTCAGTAGTTAGTCTGCATTCCTGCAAAACTACTCTTCTTGGTCTGATATATTAGTGTATTTTGATTGTTTCTCTATTAGTGTATTTTGCTGGCAGAGGAAGATGTGTATAGCAGCATGTAGTCTCTGGTATTTAATTCTTTCCCTTACTTTTCTTGTAGAAATCAGTGATCACTTAGCCACTCTCAGGAAACTAGTGCAACTTGTATAGGTCAGCCCCAAAGCCAGAGTGATGTTAAAGATTTTAAAGGAAAGCGGAGCTCTCAAATTATACATTTAGTGATTGAGTTCTTATTAGGAGATTTGGACCTAATGAAAGAACAGAAAGGCCTGGGAAGTAGAACAGGACATGAAACTCACTGGCCATTAGATCCCAGAGAAAGGTGATCATTCATTGGTAAATGCAAGCCACCTGGGAACTAACAAGAGGCTAATCTTCATTCAGCATTTGTATAGAGAGATACATAATTGCCATATGCTTAGAAAATATTTTCTTTCCCTCAAAAAAAACCCAAACCCACCCCAAAACAAACACTCCAGGAGCACTCAAAGTGTGTTTGTTTTAATGTGACCTTTTGAAGAACAAGCAAGCTACAGGAGCAGAGAATAAATGGAAAATCCCTGTACAATAAACATTCTGCCTCTCACACAGGTGTCTATTATCACTGCCATTACTATCACATACATTGAGACTGAGTATTTGAATTATTTGAGTCTTTAGTTTGAGTTTTTAGTTTTGTGGACTAAAACTTGAAAGAAATGTCAAAAATTAAACCTTAGTTGGTTCTGTGGGATTAATTATATAATCTACGTTAAATACTCTGAGCAAACAAAGCATTCTTCTCTTCATTGTTCTGTGAAGGTACCCACTTCTCCCCCTTGTCTGCATGACAAGTCTAGGCCCCTGATTTAAGCAGCGGTTAAATTCCTGTTTGTGCTAATCTGTTAGTCTGAGTATCATCAGTGTCTAACCTAGGTAAATAGGTGTTCTCCCTCAGTGTCTTGAGCTCTTGGAGTGGAGAGGTAGTGACAAATGTCAGGCACTGATAGCCAGCTGTGGGAAGTAGAAGCTTATGGAAACTGAGGAGGGGAGTAAATCATCCTAACAAGTTATAAAATAAGAAAAGAATACCCTATAATGAGCCCTGGGTTATAGTGGCATTAGTCTGTAAACAGACCTTGTGTGTGTTGCTGTTCTTTCTAACCACTAGAAGATGAAATTTTCTGTACATTAACACTGGCTAAATTTTTAGAGATGTTGAGCAAAAAAAATGTCAAGAGCATCTGAAATTTTTAGGGGATGAACTGTCTTAAGTCTCCAGGTTCAGGTGAAAGCCCAGGCTTTTTCATCCTTTTGCATTATTTTGACATTGCAAACTGGACAGCGAACTGGACAAAGAATGTGTTTTGTTTAGTTTGAAGCAAGTATGGGAGCCAGTGCGGGTAATAAATTCTTTTCCCTATTCACTCTTTTTATCGTATGGTGATATCATGAAAGGACATTTCAGACAAATTTTGCTGTCATTTACATTGCTATAAATCTTGAGTATTTTCATTGTCATCATTAAAACTGCATTCTGCAAAATGTGCTTTTGGATTCCCTGGGGAAATAGCTCTTCTGTTACAGAAAAATTTGCAAAACCTTGCCCTGGGCATCAACATAATGGAAAATGATTCTGTAATTTCAGGAAAGCAGTTCACAGAGCAATGAAGTACACTAGAGAATGTTTGAAAATATAACTACTGTAGTTAATTAGTATCACTTAAGGTTATTATAAGTGAATCAAGTTAAAAGTCAAAATTAGCTCTTTCGATTTGTTCATTGTTTGTAAGCAAAGCAGCATGTTAATTTTACTTTGTTCTGTATATAGAAAGTTCCTATAAATATCAGCAGAGGGCAAAAAATTCTCATTAAATTTTCTTGAAAGATAGTTCAAGAAAAAAATAAAGTATATACTATTTAAAGATACTTTATTGGAATCTGGAAGTTTTAAGTAGATTTATTTATAAAAGTTAACTCAAGCTGACAGTCTCGGTTTATTGCCATTTTGTGACATCCAATTTATTCCAGATTTTGGAAATATGTATTGAAGATTTCAGCACCAAACTGAGTCCTTTAGGAGTGTGTGCAGCAATATAATATTATTTTTTTTAAAATTATTTTTTGAAATAAATAGTCCCTGTGAACTCTACTGTAAAACATGTCAAAGTATTCATGGAAAAACTTTTAGCCTTCTCCCCCCTGAAAAGTATTATTAAATATCCCTACAACTAATCTATATTTGCACTGTTTTATGAGCACTACCTGGTGTGCTGAAAGGATAGGCAGAGCATAGGCCCCTTACACACTTTGTGCATATAGATCTGTAGTAGATCCACACAAACTATTAGCAGGTCTGACAGAGGTGATGGCTAGACATTTAGAAAGACAGTGAGTGGAAAAGCTCACAAGAGTTACCTGAAACTTCTGTTTGTGATTCTCACAGGTAATACTTTCAATGAGTAACCTATAAATAAAATGCATCTCCATTCATACTGACACTGAGGAGGGCTTCCTGATTAAGACATGTAGTGTCAGTAGCTTGAGAAGTCAGTTGTGTTTGAAATACATTGCAGAAGAATGGGAACGTTTAGAGCTAAATGTTTGGTTTGGAGTTGTCAGCACATGGATGACCAATATGCAGAAGGGTAGACTGGACAGTTGTTGCTCCTGCTCTTACTTTATATGTTATGCAAATTCTCTCATACACGTGATGAGCAGAGAGCAGGATACTAGAACTAATAATATCCTCACATAATTCTCTGTGAAGGACTCTTAAGTGATAGTAATTGTGGACTGTAATTGTGATAGTAATTGTAATATGTGCTCAGCATACAGAACAGTGTCTCAAGACAGGCTGAAGGTGTGAAAGAAGCCCAGACTGGTAAAACATGAAAGAGGAAGTCTTAGAAGATGAAGAGGGGACATACATCAAAAGGGTTAAAGATGAGCTTAACTAAATACTAAGTAGGGGTCAGGTCAAAGCTACAGTAGTTCACTGTAGGCTTTAAAATATCTGATTAGAATAATTTATGTTGGAAGGGGCCACTGGAATTCACCCGCTCTAACTTTCTGCTCAGTGCAGGTCTCACAAGAGCAGGTTGCTCAGGGCTATCTCCAGCAAGTTTCAAGACCTCCAGCAAGGAGATTTCCAAATCTCTCTGTATCCCTGTTCCAGAGCTTGCCCATTCTTCTGGTGAAAAATTGTTTCCTTGTACCTAAATGAAGTTCATGTGCTGGCACTTTTGCCTCTTGTCTTCTTGCTGTTCACCACTGAGAAGAGACTGGCTCTGTAACCCTACCAGTTGGTACTTACAGACAGCAACAAGATCTCCCTTCACCCCATTTTAAGGCTCAACAAAACGAGTCCTCTGCTTCTTGTGTGTCATCTTGATGTTCCTTCTGTGGACTTGCTCAATTATGGAAAATAAGAGCCAAATATACAGGAGCAAAATAAATAGAAAGCATTGGTGAATATCTGTTTATCATGCTTTCTGTATTTCTTTTGATACAGCTTGCTGTTTAGTGTATTCATTTCTTGTTGTATAGGAAAATTTGTAATCTTCTAATGAAATATCTGCTGAGCTTTGGAGCATGAGAAAATCATAGTGACTAATGCTATTATCTGGTTTTAAATGCAGATAGTGAAAGCATCAGAGACTTCAGGTCATCCCTTTTACACTAGTGTTTTTTCTTTTCCAATCAATTGTCACTTTAGATTCCTAACGTGTGTTTGGCATTGACCTAAACAATTAAGATCCTTTCCTCCAGTTTTTTTTGGTTTTTTTTATGGGCATTTGTAGCATGAAAGTAGAAGGTAAAAGGAAAGTCATTGTCACTTGATGAATACAACTTTATCCTACACATTTATTTCCTAGGTGTACAAGGGTGATTTAAAAATTAATTTCTCTGTGTGATCCAAGGAGATTAGGCCAAGCCACACCCTAAACAACTCAGTTCTTTTCTGCCTATTAAACTATAGATGTCCTTGCTGCATTTTACAGATGAACAACAGGACACAGTGGTCTGACATGCTCAAACTTGATCATATCTTCAGCCTGTTAAATATTGCTGACAAAATAGTTATTCATTACTGTCCAGAATTGGTGTTCAGTCATAGAATCTTAGACTGGTTTGGGTTGGAAGGGACCTTAAAGATCATCTAGTTCCAGCCCCCCTGCCATGGGCAGGGACACCTTCCACTGGATCAGGTTGCTCAAAGCCCCGTCCAACCTGGCCTTGAACACTGCCAGGGAGGGGGCAGCCACAGCTTCCCTGGGCAACCTTTTCCAGTGTCTCACCACCTTCACAGGTAAAAAAATTTCTTCCTAGTATCTAATCTAAATTTACCCCCTTTCAGTTTAAAAACATTACCCTGTGTCCTATCACTACACTTCCTAATAGAGTCCCTCCCATCTTCCCTGTGGGCCCCCTCTAAGTACGGAAGGATGTCAAACAGCTTAGTAGAAGAATATCAGGACAGAGCCAAAGTATTCTCCTTTGCTCAAGAATAGGTGTCTGGACCATTTTGTCTCAATCTTAAATTGGGTTAATCCTCCAATTTTATTTCTGTGCTCTAGTATTTGTTTATCAATCATTAATGTTTGGTGTCTGTCACATAGTGTTTAGTCTCTCCACCCAAAATTTCAGCAACATCTTATTAAAATAAGAAAGTAATCTGTTTCTTAGCTGAGTAGTTGGTAAGGCAACTTCTTATTTTCTTAATTTCAACTTTAGATGTAATCCTTTATGATCATACCTACCTGAATTTCAGAACAGAGTATGCTCTCTACTAGGTCTCAGAAGCAGGTTAAAGTGCAGATATATCTGGAACAAGATAGAACCAAAGGAAGGGTTGACTCTTTGCATCTTCCAAGAATCATATGCAGCCCAAGGATAGAAAGAAAATTTGGTGAAAGATCAGTACCATTGTTTTGCTGTGTTTAAAGTCTCTTTTCTGTGTGGCATACACATGGAGTTCCTTGAAATAAAACTCCCATTTAAAATCAAGCTGAACTGTATTATAGAAAGAAAATTTTTCAAGTTGGTGAAATTAATCTGGTGTAAGAATTACTTGAAAGGACTTCCCAGCTCTCTTACTTCTCTGGAAACACATGAATTTTAGAATTCTTTTGGGTCCTCTCTCCCTCTCTCCCCCTCTTTCCTTCTCTTCCTTATGTTTTTTCCTTTCTTTTTTCTCCTTTTGAAATTTTTTAAAAATTGTTTTCCCACATGCTATTCACTTTGAAGTTGTTTCAGAAGCTTCAGAGATGTTATATTTAACACACACCTGCTCTGTAATCAATAGTAAGATGAAACCTCAAATTTCACTGGGTTTTTTTAAATTGTTCATTGTCCAGACAAATTTGTTCAACTTGCATGATTGTCTAAAATGTATCTTCTCAAATGGCTGGTGTGGATTATAATTTTGTTGCAATTGTGGTACTGCTGCTGCTGCACAGATTTTATAATTTTTGTGGAAACTGCACAGAAGCTCAAACTGTTCTTTTGACAAATGTCGTGGTTTAAGCCCAGAGGGCAACTGAGTACCATTCAGCTCCTTCCTCCCCCGTGGTGAGATGGGGAGGAGGAAATAAAACAAAAGGCTGAGGGGTGAGGACAAGGATAGAGGGGGATGATTCACCCATATGGTCACAGGCAAAAGACAGACTCGATTGGGGAAGAAAGAACATCAATTTAATTTGAACACCACTGCCACCACCACTAATTTACCAATCAAATCAGGGTAGGAGAGTAAGAATACAACCACATCTTAAAAACACCTTCCCCCCACCCCTCCCTTCTTCCTGGGCTCAGCTTTGATCCCAGTTTCTCTACCTCCTCCACCCAGTGCTGCAGGATGAAGAGGATGGGGTTTATGGTCAGTTCCTCACCTGTTGTTTCTGCTGCTTCTTCCTCCTCAGTGGAAGGACTCCTCACACTCTTCCCCTGCTCCAGTGTAGGGTCCCTCCTAGGAGACAGACCTCCATGAATTTCTCCAACATAAATCCTTCCCACAGACTGCAGCTCTTCATGTACCACTCCAGCATGGGTCCCTCTTGCATGTTGCAGTCCTCCCAGTGCCAAACTACAACAACATGGGCTTCTCTTAGAGTCCTGGCCTTCTTTGGGCACAGCCACCTGCTCTGGCATGGGGTCCTCCACAGGCTGCAGGTGGGCACCTGCTCCACTGTGGTCCTCCATGGGCTGCAGGGGCACAGCCTGACCTCTCACCACGGGAGGCAGGGGGGTCTCTGCTCCAACACCTCACCCCTTGTCCTCCTTTCTTCCACTGACCTCGATGTTTGCACTGGTAATCTCCCTTACAACTCCTTCTCATAACTCCCACTCCTCCTCCCAAAATAATCTTCTTAAATATGTTATCACAGGTGCAGCCACTGTCACTCATTGGCTCAGCCTTGGCCAGAGGTAGGTCCAACTTGGACCTGGGGGAGCTTTGAGAAGCTTCTCACAGGAGCCATCACCCCTATAGCCCCTCCCCCACTACCAAAACCCCACCACACAAAAAATAATTCTTTCACAAGTGCTGTTCTTTTTTTAAAAAAAAGTGGATTTAATGGAATAGTTTACATAAGATAACTCTCCAAATTTGAATGAATTATCACAATATTATGCACTACAGAAATATATTAGCCTTCCACTTTAATCTGAAGAGTCTAGCACAGAATACCATGTATTGCGGTTCTGCCACATTATTTGCCTTTCTCTGAATCAACAGGAGTAAGTCTGAGGGGAAAAAAAAACACATGCAAATTTTAGTTTAAAAGAAATATGTCTGTAAACAGGCAAGCTGAGATCTGTATCAGGCGGACTGACACTTTTTTTAATGCTTACTGCTGCACAGCTTAATGAATATTCATATAAATATTGGTGTGGGTGTGGTTCTGTAGTTTGCACTTAGTAGGTGTAAATGTTTCTGTTGGTTTCTGGTGTGTTATATGTGAATTAAACACGGTTGTGAAATACAGACGTTTACAATTTGGGGACAGTGCCAGAATAAGTCCTCATGAAATGACCTGTTTCAATTTGGATGCTATATGTTTCTCTTTCGATGCTCTCTCTATGTTACCAGTTACCACAGTGCTCTATTTTTCTGAAGCCTCCTAAACATATTAATGACGTATTTTCCTTGTTTGATCTTCAGTCATCATCTTCTCACTGTGTTCTTCTCTTTTCAATGCAAATGCCTATTTCATATTTTCCATGCTTGCCATTTTTTCAGCTCACACTGCATAACTCAGTGAAACTTGAAATAGGTTACTGTAAAAAAGGTCCTTTCTCATCTCTTGAGTGGGAAGAACTGTCACCTATGTATGTTTTAGTCTTTCACCTGTTAATAAGGGATGGTTCTCCTTTTCCATTGTCATTGTTTTTGCCATTAGCTTTCCAGGCTTCTTCACCATCTTGAGCAGTTGTTGGCCAACAACATATGCATAAAAAGAAGATGGGTGGCCACCACAGAGTAGTTTCCCAGATGCCAACAACTTGCAGTTGAGGGGTGGTTCTTGAGCTACAGACATAACAGTGGTAGCTAATAACCTGCGAAGGATTTTATTTTATTTGAATTTGCTTGCATTTTGAATCTGTATTCAGTTTTTTCAGTTTACGGATTAGAAAAGATGCCAATTCCTTTGGCAAATATTCTATTTTCACTTATTTTCAGTTCTGCTAGAATAAAAATAGCATATATGTGATAGATTGTGGTTATGTCTGGTAATTTTTTAAAATTTACATTGTTTTGTTGATGACAGGTACTCGTTTGTGAAACCAAAAATTTTCAGAAACATAACTGGTTTTAATAAACCTGTTTTCTCAGATTTTAGGGAGGAAGGTTTTAAAAAAAGAACTCTCCATTACCTTGGGAGAAGAGAATTTCTGGGGTGTGGAGGAACATAGTTCCAATCTGCTGTGTCAGGCAGTATCAAGCTCCAGTGAATGTTGAGATATTGACACAAAATGGAGTACCTCCTTGCAGAGGCATGGAATAAGACAGGGGTAGTGACCGACTCTTTTAACCTCATAGTTTTAGAATCACACCTGCGCTAAGAGTTCTCGATAATGCAAATACTTGAAACGAGATGTTTTTAAACAGAGTTAATATCCTCACCAAAATAAATATGGAAGAGATCTCTTGTGCTTGGAAATGTTGCTGGTGTCAAATGGATTCGGAGAGGGGGACTCAAAATTGTAACCTGGAAAAAAGAATCCTGCCTACCTTATGTTCCGGATTTAAATGCTCGATTTTGAGTTGTGTTTTGTGATGGTTCAAGTCTAGGTAGAGTTTATCATACCGTGAGTGCATAATTTTTTTATATCTTGTCTTCATGTTAAAGAACAGGGTTTGAATTGGTGAATTTAACACATGGATTTAGCAGATAAGATGCACTTTGTCCGCTCTTGTCTTATGTTTGTTAGTGCTATTATTGGCACTGTTGTCTGCTTCACAGGAAATAGTTAATTGCCAGCTCACACAGTGAAGTGCAAATATATTTAATTCCTAGCATTTTATCTGACCTGTTTAGTGTTTCAAAACATGAGCACTTTCCCTCTCAAAGGTGGTTAACTAGTGACAAATTCACAGCTTGTATTGTCTTTTTTTCTTCCGTATTAAAACTGAGGTAAATTTTGTCACACCTGTTTTTTCTCATGCTAATGGCAAATGTCTTCTTCCCTGCAGTAAAGCTGTGATGGATCTGTTGGTTGATTTGTGCAGCCAGTATCGCTTAAATCCATCCCAACATAGTCTTGAACTGAAGTCTTTGGGAACTCATCAACCTCTGAGTTACAAGCCAAACACTTTGATAGGAGCACTGGATGTACAGACAGTACTTCTGAAAGAGAAGGTTCCTGAGGAGAAGACAAAGAGACCTCTGCCAAGGGTCCCTGAGGTCGGTACACTGTAGGGCTAAAGTGTTGCCACGAACATTCATTTTATTCCTATGGTTTCAAGCAGTTCTTCCAATCTTTGCATCTTCAAAACAGATGGGAAAGGCTTGAGATTGACTATAACCTGCTTTACTAGCTTAACTGATTTGCTTGCAGACTGGCAGGTGCCAATCTGGACTCCAGCATTTAGACAACATTTTATGTTGCGTGTGGTTGGATAGATGAAAATCTGTTCTTATAAAGACCCTTGATTGAAGACCGAGGTGGTTGAAATTTGCGGTAGTGGCTGAAATGAGGGCTGTGGGATTATGTGGAAGTAGGTAGCGTTTTGGTGGTATTTTGTTTGCCATCTTTATTGCAAATATGGGAGAGGACTGATCGTTAATAAATGTATTTCACAGTATACTGAAGATTCAGAAGTAACCATTTTCCAAATAGGTTTGCTGAAATTTTTATTACCCTGAATCAGTATAGCTAATTACAGTCATGAATTTCAGAGTGGTACTTGTAAACATTCACAAATCATGTCTGCCTCCAATTCCTTTTCCTTATTTGTCTGTTCTTGTGAATGTTTTCTTACAAACAGGGCAGTTCTGAGATTATTTTTTTTAAATCACTTTTAATAATTTTGGAATAGAATGTGTGTGGGATAAGTTTGCCTAGGAGGAGGAGTCAAGATAAAATGGAAGTCCCCAGTGTTTCTCATTGTAAGAGAGCCTAGCCATCACAGAGGGAGGTCTGAGAGTTTGTGTTTGTTTCTGCAGAAGTCTGTGAGGCTGGTAGTGAACTACCTGAAGACACAGAAGGCTGTGGTTCGTGTTAGTCCAGAGGTGCCTCTCCACAGTATCATCCCAGCTATTTGTGAGAAGTGTGAAGTCAGTCAAGAGCATGTTGTTCTTCTGCGAGATGGCATCACTGGGGAGGAGCTGGAGCTTACCAAGTCCTTGGAGGAGCTGGGGATAAAGGAGCTGTATGCCTGGGACAGAAAAAGAGGTGAGCTAAAACTGAAAGCGGTCGCTGCAGGGTTAGCTGATGTGCCAACAATATTATGGGCAACTTAACATTTGTGCTCTTGTTCCTTCGGGGCCTGGCTGAAACAGCAGAGTGACATCTCAGTCCAGAGACCAGCGTGGGTTTGTTCAGTGGGCCGTGCCCAGAGCGGCAGCCAGGACAGCAGCGTGCCCAGCCATCCCTGGCTGCTCTCGGGCCCTGTGCCAGGCTGGGCTGGCCCCTGGCAGAGTGCAGGTTGGTCTGGGGCAGGGCAAAAGGAGGAGCTTTCCTACCTCCTAGAGCTGCTGTTAGTACAGGTGCGTGCAACACAGGGGCCTCATCCAGGCAGAGCCTGTCACCAACCTGTGCTGTGGGTTGGAGAGAAAGAAAGAAGAGACATGCCATAGTCATGGCAGCTGTGAAAGCTGAGAGGCAGAGGCGACAGACCAGGGCTTATGAGAAAGAGACTGTGGATAGGTTCACAGACAGTTTCTCCAAAGAGCGAAGCTATTGACGGTTTATTGAAGAGGAGCTAAGAGGTATTTGTATTTAAAATTTTGTTCTCTTGTTTATTCACCCTCACTTTCTGTTCTTATAGATGATACTGTAGCGGCAGCTTCTTAGGCTTGCGTTTTTATCAGCCTGATTGTGTATTCAAATAGCGTAATTATGCAATGTGCTTTAAAATATACCTGCTTTAAAAATAAAAGCACTACTTCCTTTGAGGCCAGGAGGGGATGTTCATTAAAATTGTCTCCTGCAGATTGTCTCAATCAGTATCACTTCCAGCACAATAAATGGCCTTATTTATTGTTTAGATAACGTCAGTCTTGTAGGTGCTGAGCAGCAGGCTTATTTTTTATTTATATAGTTATTTATTTATGTTGACATTCTGTCTCTTCTTTCAAACTCCTTTGGTAAGTGGCAGTTCTACCTCTGTGTGAGTCAAATTTCAATGAGTTTAGACTTTTAAGTAAACTAAATATCTCTTTTTCCTTTGAATTGTTAGGATGCTCAAAAAGTGGCTGACAACACGTCATAACTCAATTGCGTGTTTGTGTGGTTTTTTAAGACATGTTTACTGTAATTAAGCTAACCATTTTTGAGCAACATATTGAACATGCAGAGTATTCAACAGGATTTATTCAGCGTACTTCAGGGACAATTTATAGAGCAATTAGCCTAAGCTTTCCTTAAACTCTTTTTCCTTTAAAATGAAAATGATGGTGTATGTACTGGTGTAATATTGGTCCTCGAATCCAGTTGTAGCCTTTACAGTCAAAACCAGGACTTTACTTCAGGGCTAGGTTTATAGCAGAAAGATATGTAACACTTTATAGTATGCTGTGCTCTACGTCAGAATTTTTAAAATATTTTATTACTTTTTAACGTTTCAGGATAACTTTCATTATGATAAAATCCCCCTGATTCTGTGTCTATTTCAGCCTTTATTACCTCCCTCTTGCTCTGCACCATGGTGTCTGATGAGGAAACCGGTAAATACACATAAAATTTACAAAAGGTTTCCTTTGTTCCAGCAAATTCCTTCTTCCTGTGTTCTCGTTTGTAATCTCCAAGAGGAATAATCCCGTTGGTTTCAGTAGCAGTTGGTCTATGAATTGTGCATTCAGCAGATGTCCAGTCTGTTTAGTTACCAGAACCAACAGATTTTGAAAACACATTCCCACTAACAAGTAAGGCATCAGAGGTGCTGAAAGCACAGACTGTGCTTGTAAGAGCAGGTTCTAGAAAACCTCTGTGCTCATCACTCTCCTTCCCTGAGACAGAAATACCAAGTGCTAAAGGATTATTAAAAGACAAGCTCTGCTGCCACCTGCTTACTTAATTCGATGTAGCAGTTGAAGCAGCTTCACGAGTGAATTGGGAATTAATAAAAACACAGCTAAACTGCTTCTAGTAGCAGCTCTGCATGTCTGTCGTTGGTCAATATTTTTTTTCTGAAATTCTTACGACAATAAGTACTAGGAATAATTAATGAATATTGTGGTTTACGAGGCAATATTAGAACTTTAATATCTCTTCTCTTGTCCTTTCATTGCCTGCCTTTTCCAGTTCCTCCATCAAAAACTCAGTCTGAACCTTCTCTGAACTATAGAGGTACTGTACAAAGCTGCTGAGGGAAAACCATCTTTCCCTTCACACTATGTTTAATGTGGGTTTGGTAGATAGACCTTTAAGAACGTCTCATAACATGCTGTAGAGAAACAATCTGTCTTGTCTTTTGCAAGTGTTGTTCACATGTCTGTGCTTTTGGTCAGAACAAACACACTTGTGGGCATATTGCTTCTTCAGTAACTGCCATAAAAATGCCAGCAACTAACAAATCCTGTCATTTAAGTGTTCTGTGGTATGATATGTTTTTGTACAGATTCCAAGCCTTTTCAGATTTCCTAAAGCATGATTAGCTGAATTTCAGAAATACTAACATTTCAGAGTTCTCTTGGATTCAGAATTTATTTAGTAGCAAAGATAGAATATTTTGAGATCTGTGACATCTTCCACTGATTTCAATTTACATGCAATGAAACTTTTTAATATCAAACCTATGTATACACATTGGATAACTCTGAATAGATTCTGACTTCTGAATTGCTACAGGGGATGGGGTTTGATTAGTTACATTGGTGGTTCTGCACCCAGTTAAACAGAAAACATGTGTATTTAGCATATCTTTTTCCCCCACTGAGTCTGTTATAATACATTGCTTAAATTAATTATCCTCAAGAAAGGTACAGTTGATTTTTAACTGACTTTCCATTACTGGTAAACACAACATAACCAAAATAAAGCTGTGGAGAACTTTCAATTTTCAGGAAGGAAGGAAGTCTACCTCCAGTAGGTGATGGCCATCAAGCAAATCTTAGCTCATGGCCTATTGTCTCTTGACTTCACTATGCCAGTACTTTTACCCCTAATTTTATTATTCTTTTATTATTATTTTTATTATTATTTTATTATTTATTATTCTTTTATTACTTGCTGTGAATTCCTCTTATATAGAGCATAATATTAGAGAGATCTACTGTATATATTTAAGAAAAATTGAAACAGATTTATAAAGATTCCTTGCTGGTTTGAGATGATAAGCTGTGTTTAAAATACTAATTTGTTATTATTATACAACGTTTAATGGTAATGTTGATGATGAACTGTTACTGACATAGTTTATGCTAGACTTTTATCATTATTGTTCATAGTTGAAGACTATGTGAGTAAGGGAAGCATTATCCACATGCAGCTGCAGCCCAGCTCCAAGCAGAAAACCAGCAGTTTCTGGTGAATGAGCATAGGCAGCACTTAGTATTTGAGAAAAGTATTAATTTATTACTGTATTTTTTTGCAGTAGAGTTGCAACCTTTCTTAAGGATAGTTTCTCCCTGTTTTTCTATGGGTTCATCATCTTTTCTATTGTGCTTTGAACTACTGTATGCAATTAACACCTTCTAACAAATGACATATTGTTGATATGTGTGACCTGTGCGAAAATCATGTGCTTTGTGTGAAATGCAAGTTAGTTTACAGGAATTCTAGGATAAGGGCTTTTTTTGTGAAGTAAACCTTTATTTTGTGTCAACAAACAAGTCATTTTGCATTTGCTTCTTAATTGTCATTAAACAAATAAAGCGGTTATTTACAAGAGAAAGCATTTTTTCTCTGTACATTAAAATTTCTGTGGTGCTAGTGGGATACTCTGATGTGCTTGGAACCAGGAAGAAATCTTTATAGCATTATATACCATTAAAAAAGTGGGAGAGCTTTACAGTCTGTATACTGAATGTCAAACCAATAGTTGTAATGCATGACCTTATTGTTTTGCTCATCCAGCTTGGCTGGTGCAGGGGAGATTGAAGAGAGACTAAATGGTCTGAGAATTCATACAGTTCCTTAGCTGCTTCAAGGAGAACTTGCATGTTTGAGCTCTTACAGCCTGAAATGCATATAGACTCCCCTCTTTTCCCACCTGAAGTAAAAATACAAAGATGAGAAAAGATGAGCACAACCAGCTGATACAAGTTCTAAGGAGAGCTCTTTTTCCGAGGGAAAGGTCTCTTTCCTTTTCATGGAGCTTTATCCAAATTGACATCGAGTCTTTCCATTAACTTCACTGTGTTGTTAGGCCTGTGAATTGTTAAAGATACTCCCCATCATTTTTTTTTTTTTAAAGTCTTTATTTTATTTTTTTAGTATTGCGGTACTCCATGAGTTTTAACTGAGACATTCAGCAAGTATTTCTGAAGGCTAAGCAACTTGCTCATGTTTTGTCTTTTAATAAAGATAACTAAATTGTGATTGAAAACTTACTGCAGTTTATTAAATTATTCCATTTGCCTCCATCAGATTTCGGAACAAACTCAGAACAAATAAAAGTTTGATAAAAAATGAAGTGCAGTATCTGGCAGTTACTTAGACAATTAAGTTTGCAACATCTCCAGCTCATAAAAATACAGCATTAATCCAGAATGCTTAAAAATAGCGATCTTCTGAATTGTAAAAATGTAAAAAATATTCCATTATAATTGTTTCAGAACCAAGTCGAAAGGCTTCAGTAAGCAATGATGCAATAGAAAAAGAAAAGACAAGACTTCTGGGATTGTTTAAAGCTGATAGAAGAAGCAGCAAGGTAAGTGTTCAACAGTGTACTACCTCACTAAAAAGAATTGTTTTATTTCCAGGTGTATTATGTCTGTGGGTGGTGGTGTGCATTTGAAGTTTTTCTTCTTTTCCTTCTTTTCTTTCTTTTCCTTCCAGGAGTAATCTGTTAGCAGGTGTGTAAACTGTGTTTAATAAGTGCTTATTGAAATGGTCAGGCATATTGACCATTTACTTATTTATTTCTCTAAAGTGCTGTGGATTCAGTATATGTTGACAAAGGGCAGTAGTCTCAAGCAACTTATGTCCACTTATTAGTAGTGCTCAGATTAGAAAATGCAATTCTGAAAGAACTCATGTAATATAAAACAATTAAGATATCAAGTAGAAGTGTCTTATTAACTCTTCTGTACATGGGTCATAATCTGTTTTAAAGTATTTATATCTTTAGGAAGCTCTGTGCAGTCATGCTATTGCCATTTCCAAGTCTGTAAAACCAATGAATCAGGTGTAGAAGAAATAACTTGCATTATTAAACTGAAGGATCAGTATCTTCTGGGGTGCATATTAGGCATTTTTAACTTTGTCTTTAATCTTGGGTTGAAAAATTTAAAAAATAAATTTTCTATAAAATAATTTTCTTCCATTAAGATGCCTTTATGAAAAATCTGTCTCTCATCACAGATATTAAATACAGAAAAACTTTCTAATTTGGGAACATAATAAAAATATTAGGCTTTTAGCTTCATACTTTTTGCATCCTTCACTATAAATATCAGCGTCAACTGGTTTTGTTTGTAAAGTATTTAATACTCTAGGATGTCAGAATAAAAAGGAAACTTTCTTTCGTCTAGTTTAAAAAGCCCTCCAAGGCTTTTGCAGTGAAATCATAAAATGTGTGTCTGATTAACTGGTTCTAAGAAACATAGGCTTGTTAATGAATCTCAGTGTTTCACTTACCCTTCAAAGTCTTCTCAGTCATGTATTTAAAACTGTGAAGGCTTTCCAGAATCTTTATTAGTTCTCTGCCCTTTTGATTATGATCAAATTTGGAGTGCTTTTGCCAGGGAATAGCTTCCTTTATGGACACTGGGAATTACCGTGTTGAAAAATATGATCTGTCATGGATGCTGAACTATTCTCATGAAAACTGCATTTTAGAAGATAGAAGGTCAGTCACTTTCAGAGTATTTATCCTCCATAAGAAAATATTTCCCATTTAGAAGGGAACAAAAACGTAACTAGAGAAGTAATGCTGTATCTAACTGGAAGAATCGATTAAACAAGGAAGCTCAGCTTCAGCCTCTAGAGCGCGCTGTGGGGCTGTAGCTCTTCTGGGAGAACCACATATGTTACAGCACGCAGTTTCTGCATTATAGTTTGTCCTCTGATTCCATTTTCCTGAATATTGGTATGAAGTGTGTGTGCTCTTAGAATTCTAACTCCTGAAGCAGCTCAGATTTAACTTGTAAAATATTTATGCTTGCAACCTTAGAAAAAGTTTCTATGAAGCATAGCAATTCTGTGGTTACTGCTGTGGGTTTCTCACAGCTGAGTTTGGGATGACTGTCCCAAGATTGCAAACTCCTGTCTTTTTTCTATTCTCTTCTTCATTCATGCTAATCAGAGATACTCCGAGGGTTTTCAAAATGCAAATTTTAATAGATGCTAAGGATATTGAGAATTAGTTATAAGTTACAAGTAGTGTTTGACCTGAGAAAAAATAGGAGCTGTACAAACAAGTATGAGAAACAGCTTCTAAATCTGAGGTAACAGTGTAAGTCTTCCTTGCTGCTAGTTCTGACAAATTAATTGACTTTTCTTTGTAATTTCTTTATTGGATTCCTACTTTCAAATGACAAATACTCTGTAGGAAAAGCAGCTCAATCAATCACTTTTAATCCAGCAAGGAAGTCATTGTTGCCTTTTCAATAAAAACCTCTAGGAGTTTGAACCCAAGTAGATGGAAGAATTACTGAAAACTGAAGAATAGCAGAGCACACAGGAGCAAACAGGTGTTAACTAGCCATAATACATCTGGCTTGGTATTGTGGAAGATTTCTAGTCAAAACAGTGGTGAAACTGCTGAACAGTGTTAGCAGAATGTGGGCAAATTGTTATTATGAAGGGATTATATGATAGGATGTCCTGTGATTTCAGGAACTGGTATTAAAGGTCCAGAGTTCCTAAACTCTGTTTTTTACAGTTATTCTTACATTTGTACTCCTCTGCAAGACTAAACTTGGTTCTGCTTATTTGTTTTAATTTTTTGTTTGTTTGCCTTATGATTTTCAGTGATGCTGTGTGTGAATGTGTGTATGTAGTCATGCATAGTCTGTGGTTTAGAACTATTTGTTAGCAAGTACTGCCCAAAGTCTTGCACAGTAGTAGCACTGCAGAGTTGTAGGCAATTACAAGGGGAAGGAAATTTCTTTTGCAAGGAAAGAAGAGTATTAGCCTGTGTTGCAGACTGTCCTGGATCAGGTGTCACTGCACGCTACAGGCCTACGCTCAGATTTCCATGCCCACACACATTCTTTCTCGGCTAGCTCACTGAAAGCAATAATCGTGGTATGACAATACATTAGATCTATTTTTTTGAAAAAAACCCTTTCTCCTGTATTAAAAACTGTGACGTAGAATGAAAACAGATTCTTATTCTCATGGCTGATACAAATTTGTTGAAAGTATTTCTTTGGTTAACTTTGTACTGGCAGGCTTAATGCCAGATCAGGTATCATCTTGTTCTCTCCATTCTAATTTTATGCTGGATCAGTTACCCTCTGTTCTCCTGCAGCTGACATAAAAACATAAAGGTGGCATGAACTCCATATCTTTTTGATATGAAATGTAGTCATGTGCCTGAGGCTAAATCCAGATCAAATTGGCACTGCTAAGCAATCCAGTAGAGCAGAGGTCCTGTGCAGACAGTCATGGGATCTAGGCTTAAGTAGGGTATATGCTAGTGCACAGAAGCACTCCTGTTGTTGACAGGTCACAGGGAAGAAATTTTCTGCTTGTTCCTCTGTGTCTGTGGGTTAAGCAAACTTGAAACAGAGTTGCCTACTACCTGTTTCCCTCCTTGCCCAAGAATTGTTCTATGTCTTTGTATTCTTGTTCTTAAATCTTTCTGCTAATGGATTTCTTAGGACCTTGCCTAAGAGAAATTTTGCAGACTACTACAAAGTTTCTTAGCAATCAGGTCCAGCACTACTGAGACAGTTTGTTCTGTGATGAGGTTTGATGCTTTGCTCTGGTATGTTTTTGCTGTTTTGTTTCATTTGCTGCTGCTGTGTAGGATACTTATTTGTGTTACAGACAGAAGAACACTTGAGGATGAACAGAGATTGTTGTGAGGAGGATGTTTTTAGTTCTACATCTACAAGTGAAGGAAGCTTGGATGTAAGTACTAACATGGCTTGCAGACGCTATTGCATTCCTATTAGATCCTGCAATTTGAATAACCAGAAACCACTGCTATTCCTGATGCTTAGCCAAGTAGAAGTAGAAATAGCTTATTTCTTAGCAGGCTTAGATATATGAGTGCACAGTTCGCGTATCTTGATGAAGTTAAAATGCAACGTGCTGTCTTCAAATAAAACTTGCTAGCTTCACTATAAATAAAGTTTGTTTCCAAGTTAAATTCTAAGCAGTTGTGAGTAGAAAGTGTTTTAACCAATGACATAGCTGTTGTGATTGTAAGACAGTGATAGTACCACATGATACAAGAGTATGTTTGCCTTTTCAGTGACATTTAGAGTGAGCTTTTTTCTTAATGAAACCACACCTCACATTTTTATCCCTTTACATGACTTCTGCAGTATGGCAGCATTCCATTTGTTTCATAAGTAGCTTGAGGATGGAGAGTACTTTTATTTAAACAATGGAAATAAGAGAAAGGATTTTTGTGAAGTACTTCCGTAGGTTTTGGGGTACTAAAATCCTGTGAACTATATTTAGAAAGGCTTTTAAATGCCTGACAGAATACTAAATTATGAGGATTTAGGTATCTATTTAGGAACTGTGAATCCTAAATATTTTTATAAGGCTGTTCTGGTGGATTATTAATCATAATAAATGGCATGTCTTTTTGTTACCGTATTTTCAAAACCTGGCGAAGACTTTGTTCATGACAGGATAGACACCTGAAATTGGAGGTTCAGCTCTGAATCTCCCTTTCAGAAACTGGTATTTGGAAAAAGAGTGCTAATCCACCAAATGTACAGCTCACTAGCCACAGAGAAGGATGACAGAAAATTGTGGAAAAAAAAGAGTGAGAAAACAAATCCCATATAAAAAAGATAAAATAAAAGAACTCAGAAGGGAGAAATAGATGGAGAAGTGATTGACTGTGAAGTTAAAAAAACCCTGTCTCTGCAAATCTGTGAAGACTTCACAATGAAAGAATACTGAAATAGGAACACTGCTTTTGACACTAAAAATAAGGGTAACATTTAAAGATGAATGTTTTAGCGAGACCACTGTATTCAATATAAAGTCCTAGTAGAGGATGATGTAGGCAATTGAAATACACTAGGTAAAAGTGTAGAAAAACTATCACAAACTGCCAAAATCAAATAATCATGTGGTTCGTATTCACTGCCATTATAAATTAATCTCAGTATCTTGATACCCAAGTACTAGAAGAGAAGGGGAAGGAAGAGGAGGAATTCCAAGTGAGTATATAAAGGTAGTTCAGATGCTCTGAACTGTCTTTTACACTAGTGTGTGGTGCTTTCCTCTGAAGAGAGACATCTCTTGATTTATTTTTGTAGGGAATCTTACAGGGCAAATCATGAATGAAGATTGGGGTTTTTTTCTTTTGACATTGATAAAAAAAGTTTTCAGAACTTAATCTTGAACATGTAACTGTCTTCTAAAGGCACAGGTGATAGGGAGCAAAGGGATCTTGGAGAGGTAAAAAATATTTTCTTTTTATTCAGTTACATGAACATGTTAGGGATTTAACTTTTTTCCCTTTCCTCTTAAGACCAATTAATCTTCAAGAACAGTGTAGCCAGTGTTCAGTGT